AAGTAAATTATGTTACACCACTTTGAGAAGTAATGAACAAAAAGAAAGACGTCTGAACTCAAGCATTGCCAATGAGAAGTGATGGTTTGGTAGTGGAGCATAGAGGGAGTCACATGTGTCACGTAATAGTAGTGCTCTCCTACTAGTGGAGAAATGATGCATGATGATTTGCATGAGAGACATGCAAAGGCTTGTGGCATGCATTATAAAAAAGTTTGCATATAGCATGTAGCATAAAACAGGAAAAGCTAATCTTGTGAGAAGAGGGAACTACCATATTGGAATCCAAAACTTATATCCACTTCTAGCTGAAATTCCCATGTGCACGTATTTGTAGATGATGCGTCTTTTTACCAATATAGATAGCTTTACAGCTACTACAAATGTATTTACATACAACCCATGGACACATAGGAATGAGTAGTGTGTCTTTGGTTTTAAACATTTTTAATTCTGAATGTTGACATAAACATTAAATGTAGCTTGATTTGTGGGTAATATGTTTTGGTCATATTTTGAATTTGGGGAGGTATTTGTCAGTGAAAGGAGTGATAAGAACTAGTGGATATTTTAAGACAGTGTGTAGCTTTATGGTAGGTTCTATTTTATTTGTTAAAAATTTTCGTGTTATAATTAATGGTATAACCAATTCTTTGTAATATGTTATGAATTTCTGAAATTTCCGAGTGAATACAGAAGTTATCAAAACAGATATTATATGCTCTGTTTAGAAGATTTAAAACAAGGTTATGTTTGAAGGAGTCTAGTATAAAAGTGTTGAAATGAGTGTATAAGCCTGTGAATGTTTTCTTACGGTAAACAGATGTGGTATAGAGATTGTTTATTTTGTTTACTTGGACATCCGAAAAAGCTAATTAGTGTTTTCTTCCATCTCACAAGTAAAGTTAATACATGAATGTTGTGCATTTAAGTATTCTAAAACTTCTTGGTGTGATCAGTGTGAAAGAGTAGAAAAGTATCATCAACATACTTTCTATATAATACTGGTTTTAATAAAGGGGGCAATTATCCAGCCATTGATGTTCACAGTAATAGAGAAACATATTTGCAAGAGTTGGACTTAGAGTTGATCCCACTGCCACTCCATCTACCTGGTCATAAAGATGACCATTAAAAACAAAGTGATTATCCTTGAGGGCCAATATGAGAAACTATTTGAATTTTTGTTGGTTAAAGTTACAGTGCAGGTCATTTTAGTTTGGGAATATTGTTTAATAGTTATATTAATTGTTTCTGAGTGGCAAAACCTTGTCGAAATGTTATACATTTTGCTGTTATGTTAA